GACAAACAGTCCACCGTTTATAAATTTACCAGGAAATTCAGGCCGATATCCCTGCAAATTAAGCCACTTTTTACCGCTTCTTCTAAGTGCAACTGCTTATTTATAATATGACTATCAGTTATTAACACCCAAAACACGAGAACTTTCCGGATTTACTAGTACAAGGAGTCCATTTTCGTAACGATAATTTCACTATCAATTATTCTCTCGTTTGCGTTGTTTTCTTGTAATTACCGCCTTAAATGCTAAAAGATTTTTGAATTTTAAATTACAGTGCCGTTTAATTTCAGACTAAACAAGTATAACCTTTTGTCCTGATATTTTTTCTGGATGCTACGCATAGATTTCTATGTAATTGATGAACGAGCCTGCAAATGTACACATACTGTGATCGATTGTTGCTTCCATAGAAAAATCTAACCAGATGCATCTGGTTAATGTGAGGTTACAACCCAATTACTTCATGGATGCCGAAATTACCGGGTTTATTTTGCCTCAATCAGTTTGCGCCCTTAGTTTAATATTGCCGTTTTGTTTTAATTTAATTTCTTGGAGCTTTTACAACATAGCGCCGTCAGTATTTAAAATAGTAATTTCTGCTGTTATTATATTCATTATGGGCTAGATGTGTTCATTAAAGCACCGCGGATATATTTTAAGATGTTAGAGTAACAAGATTTTAATTTGCTCTTCATATGTGCAGAACGGCTCCTTTCAAACTTCAACTTCTAATTAGATTTACTCAAGTTGAAAATAAGTCGAAAGTTTTAATGGCAAGCGCTGAGCGAGTGTGTTTCTTAATAATAATACCTCCGATTTTTTCGATTTCCTTAAGACTGAAAACGTTGCCAGTTTTGAGAATAGTTGGTGAGTTTGGAGAGGAAATGAACGTAGAACTTCATGGAGACAACGAAGGTTTGACTGAGATTTTTTTTTCGCTTGTTTTTGACGTGCCTGCTTTGAATCACTTTCAGATTTATCATTTAAACTGAAAAAGTCCGTTTGGCTCAGTTGGATTCTTCACATTTTCAAGAAATATTAATCTTTTGAGTTATTTTAGGGAACATTGAAAATATGAAAATTCGCCACCCTCATCAGTCGGAAATATTACTTATACATATAAGTAAGTAATATTCCTCTCCAATAGAGCAAAACTGAGTACAACACTGTAAGCTTCCTTACTCTATTCGCGTCTCCCCTCCCTTGTTTATATTTACTCGTCGAGCCCGAAATGGCACAAAGCAACGGCACAACACAGTCCCAAGCTGTACAGATCCGTCCTGCGGCCTAATAAAGTTTTACTTTTTCTCGCGGACTGATTTTTTTGCTAGCCAGTTTCGATTTCGTATGATAATTATTTTCACAAAATTGGAGGCTGGGCTCTGGCATCGTTTTATACTTCGACGTCAGCATAGAGGCGTCGTCTAGCGCCCAATGTGCGTTCTCTGAGGGAGTGGCAAAGGATCATTTTAATCTTTTTATACCATTCAAATCCAATGGGTGGTACCCCAAAATCCTGCGCTTTCAAAGATTTATCCTTCTTTATAAATTTATTTTAGCGAGTATTTTGCTGCTTTTCTAGTGCTGTCAGCATTCAGGCATGCACTCGGGTTGTTTACTTCTCCTCGAAAACATGCAACGAGCATATGGCACCCATTATTATGAGATTATTATCTTGGTTATTTTTCTGTAATCTTTCTAAATCCGCTTTTGATGTATTGTAAGTTTACTACTTTTTCACCCATATGCTTATCTTTTCCCAGTTCAAGGGAAGCAGACAAGGAAATTGCATTTTATGAATATGTTTATCAGGGTACACGCTAAATAAACACCTGATTTGTATAAGGCTTGATCGGGCATTCAATGATAAAAAGGCATTTTCCAATGCACTAGTTTAACCAATTTATTCAGCTTCAAGTTGATTATTGTCTCCTTTTTGGATTAATCTGGAGGCTTATTTTACCTACAGGTGCTTTGATGTATTTCTCTATAGAGGCGTTTTACTTCTCTAAGTCTCCCGGATATTCGTTGCTAACAAAATGAAATTTAATAGCTTTTAAGGATTTTCTCCACGTGTTTCGAAGCATTATGTCTAAGGATTCAGATTATATCTTAACTTTAATCTGCCAGCTAAAAGGCTTGGTTTATGATTATGATCATTTATCTTCTCAATACAATTATGATAATCTTTAATTATTCTTTGACAAATACATCATATCAGTCAGATGATCAGAATGATCAGAGCTATCGCAAATATTACATAAAACACTGACTGATTTTTGAATTCGTCCATAAATTAATAGAATATACGCCAAGAAAATAAAGCAAGATTTCCTCATTCTATGCCTTATATTTAGCATAATGCAGCTGCTATTAATGACTTTATTTGCAATTAAATCACAGGGAAGTGACAAGAATGATAATTTCTCAATGGGTTTTTGGCATATTAAAATTTCAAAAGAATGTCTGCGGCTGAGAAATTTGCGCGTGGGCCTCCAAAATACATTTTTCAATCACTCAGATGGAAAAGGAAATTATTCCTTGCGCAATTTGCCTACAGCTTCAAGCAGTTATTAAGTGTTGCAGTCATTAAAAATGTTACTCCAAAAACGATTTTTACGTCTTATATGCTTGCTTATATTATATGCTTCAGTTCGGACTCAAACCAATCCAAAGCCAAATAAAATATGGAGCTTAAAATCTGTAGAGTTTCTGCATGGTTTTCTTTTAAAATATTGATTCCACAACTCGCTTAGTTCGGCGGCCGCCAGATGACATGGTAATCAGCAAAAAATTTTCAATAGTTTCAATTCGAAAGCCCGTATGGTTTTAGAAAGCAGTTACTTGTGAGCAGGAAATATCTGTTATATGAGTTGGCGACTTTTTAAGTCAATCTGCGTCGCATCAAAGGAAACACTATATTTTTATAGTTCCTCTAAACCTTGCAAACCTCATATTGTAATGTTATTTTTTTGATTCATTCATGATTTTAGTCATTTAGCGTTAGTGGTCATATCACGGGCCAGATTTAGGGGTGTCTAATAAGGAACAAAAACAAGTCTTGCTTATATGTGCCCGAAATTAATATCTCGAAATAGCTTCCGCTATATGAAATGCGTGATTTGTATAATAATTAGCAACTCAGTTATGCCATATTCAAAGCTCCAACGCAATGGGACTGAACCTTTTTTGGGGCGCTTTTAGGGTACACTTTTAATATACTTAGTATGTATGACTTGGATCGCTACATTGCATATTTAGTCATTCTGTTATTATGCGGATTGGGTCAGTTTGTGGAATAAGACATTATGTATCCATAAAAGTTAATTATTTCTGTCAGCGTTTCGTTTATCTTCAATCTATCGCTGGTGTTTACATTAATTAGAAAAAACTACTCGTGCGATTTTTTATCTGGATTCTTTCGGAATTTTAGTAGTAGCATATTTAAAGATTTGATTTGTAAGGAAGAGAAGAGATTGTAGAACCACAGTAAATTCCAAAATCATCTCAACTCTATTGCAGTTTACATTTGTTTCTTCCCGGTGAGTTTTTGATTCAACATATTGGCCACATATTTACTGCTGTTTTTTGCATTATTTAGTGCAGGTGCCTGTTTAAACTCTTTTGGTGGATTGTTATTTTCCGACTTTAACACCTGCATTTTTTTTTAAGATGCTTATGATATTTTTCCATTTTTACTTCTGAACTTCCGTGGACCGCTGCTGCTAAACTTTAGCAAATGCCTTATTGTAATGTATGAAGCATATGTAGAGTGATTGGCACGCTGACCTAAACACATTAACCAGAAACAACGCTTCTCTTGTGCCAAGTTCGCCTTTAAAACCGAACTGAGTTTCGCTTGCGTCTTGTTCCAGCTTTCCGTATACTCGCTGGTGAATAATTTTAAGAAGAGCTTTTAGCGTATTAGACCTATTGTTCGATAGTCAGCGCACTGTTGAGCGTTGGCTTTTTAAAGAAGACTGGAACAAGCTGAGAGAAGCCATTCTTCAGGTTTAGACTGCATTAAACAGGTTGACCAGAATGGCAATGTTCTTATCTGATAAGCTCTACAAATTTGCTTGAAATCTCGTCCATAGTTGTCCTGTTTGCTTTGCAGGTACTCTATTTCTTCAGATTTCCTCTTGCAGTCGTTACTATTGGGTTGTTTGTTAGGAAAGTCCCCTTAGATTTACCAAATTGCTTACCACTGAGGTTGTACCGTCTCTCTCTAGTATACAATTTAATTAAAAATTTTCTCAATGTTTGAGAACATTAAATTTGCTCATGTTCGTATATATGTTGCTATTGGTTGGTTTTGCTGCTAATACAGTAACAAGTTAAAAATCCCAAGAGAATGACACACGTTCAACTTGAGGACTATTCCAACTTTTAATGTTGCACACTGAAGTGTTTTTGTTGAGTTTACTGTTATGAAAGCCATATTATGCTGCAGTAAAATTCACGTTAACAAGCTGGAAGAGCAGCTTTAATTTCCCCTTCTTTTCCGTTAAAATATAAATTCGAATAATAGGTTTTTTATAGCGGTATAAACTTTGCCCTATTAAAAATCGGTAGTTAAGACTGGAAGTAATTTTTTAATGAGTTTATACCTTTCCAGTGTGTTAATCTGTACTTAGAGTTGTTCAGCATCATGGAAATTGTTGCACTATTTTGGCGTTTTGCACTCTTAGCTCGAATGCACAGATGGTATAAACCCTTAAAACGGTGCATCCGCTATGGAATAATCTTAAGATTGCATAATTGTGCCTAAAATAGAGAACTGGAATTATTTACCCGTAAGAATCATCTCTGTCAACTACAAAGCATGTTTGCGTCTTAACAATATAATAAAAATTCAGGTTGAAGTAAATGAAAAATAATGAAGTTTTAAAATTGTTTTCTTGAATTTACGTACACAACTTTCCATATTTTCTCGGTTCATGGTAAATTAAAAACAAATATAAAGTTTCCCCGTTTATAACTTTATTTATTATTTCTAGGTTTTGTCCTCCGGCAACAACAACTCTCTTCCCTACGTTGAACATTATAAGGTAAGCAAAACTTTTTTCATTTTATTCGTTTATTTGTACTATTGGTGTTCTAGAAAGTTAATTGCAAAATAATCTGAGAATACGATCTGCTTCATATCCTGTACATTTACCGAATTGAAACTGACGATAGTTTCCACAGTTTTAGTCAACTTAGTGTACTTTTCGCATCAACTCACCGGGTGAATGTTTGCAAAGACAATTATCAATTCAGAACCAATAGGTCGATGTTCCTTTCTTAAAAATTTAGCTTGGTTTTCCTCCATAACACTTAAACAGCTGTAAGAATTTCATATGCATAAAATATCACTGTTCTGCTTCCAATGCCTCAACAGGTCCTCCGCTTTCTAACTTACCAGTAAGTTTTATTAATTTAACTATGTTATTTATAAACTAGACGTTCTGCGCAAAAGTTCTTAATTTCCGAAGTCATTAATGATTTTCCAGTTCTCATGAATTTTGTATACACTTCCTTTGCGGCAATGTTCAAAATGCTGTAGTTTTAGAAAAGTATAATAATGTGTCGTCAAAGTTTCCGAAATTGATTGATTTTGGCTCGAAAGTTTCATTAACCATTGATAAAGCGTACGGGGGAAACTTCCCCTGCAATATGGTAACACGGTAACTGTTGACTAGCTGGAAGGTTAAAATGTCTATTTAAGTGTGAAATAAGGTTTACGCGAGTATTTTCGTTATTTATTTATTAGTGGTTTGGTGACCCGTTTTTTATTGGGATTTTATAGAGGTTGTATTTTGTTCCAGAATCGTGTTTCTGTTGAAATACACATAAAAATAAGTAAAGATAGGAATGAAAAGATGTAACTGAGGAAAGGAGAAGAAAAATGTGACAATGCCATTAAGGGTTTTTCAGACTTTTTAGAACTTAAGTCTTTTCAGGATTCTTAGAACAGCAAGTTTAGTAATCTGGGCTTGTTAGGCGATTCGCAAAGGAATCCAGGTTTCTCTGAGCTGGACCAGCCACATTGATTCCATGAGGCTAATCGATTTTCCTCAATACGACACTTTTTTGTCGACTGTTTCCACTTTTGACTTTGCTTGGACTTTTTCAAACAAAATATTTGCCTTCAATGATACCGGCCTCTTTAACATTGAAGTGAAAAACCCATCATTTGTTGCGATATGGATACTTTTGCTACTATTTGTCTTGTGTAAGAAAGCTAAGTAAAATTAAGGAAATTGCGTCTATAATAGGCACTATATCGCTGTTAATGAGTAATTCTGGTGACATAAAAGCCAAGTTACTGGTCATGGTTTTTAATTGAGGTTTGTTCGGGTAAAATAGCAGTTAAACTGTGGAGAAGTGAATTCGAGCCACAATAGGAGCAAACAAATATCCTGCAGAGGACTGTCGAAAATATATGAACATAGGGTGAAATTCACTGCAATGGCTGGAACAACTTTCCTAAACAAAATGTATAGCCGCAAGCGATGCGGTTAACGCGCTTTGTTAAAATTGTACATGGAATGTACGCTTGCGTTTTAACATCGTGGCAAAGCTGCTTCTTCCTATGTTGCAAACCAGAGAACACACAGGTGTCCCTACAAAAAGATTTTCCTGCCCTATGGCTGTCGGTAAAGGGATTATATTCATACGAAGGGTTGACTGTTTATTGTTTTGATACATTAGAGAATGCATGCATGGTTTACTATAAGCAATCTCTCTTGACCTCTCGGTTTTGCCACCATGTATACGGAATTTACTAATTAGTTGAAAAGCTAAAACCCTGCCTGCAGCTAAATGCTAATAGTGATGTTATAAATATTCACAAACAGAGCAAGGACAGGCAGAAAATGACGAGATCTGATTTCAACTTTTCATGTTTATGTAACAAGCGAATCCAGGCCGTAGTCAAATAATAGGCTTCGAAATTCAAATACCTTCAGATGACTTTAAACACACTCAGAAAACAGGAAACTCAATTTTATTAAGTAAATCTAAAACAGAGAATATAAATTCGGTGGAATAAATTTTGCTTCATATGTCACACAGTGTTCAACTTTTCTGTGTGTCTGCTTTTGTGTAATTCCCGAGAGATTGTCCATCGTGACCCATCAACATTACATTTTTCTTATATTGGTCTGCAGATTTTTGTACTGTTGCCGGATAAATTTATTAGACAGCATTTCGTTCTTGGAGGCCATTAGCTATTTGGTTCTTTTCTGTGCGTTTCGTATGAGCCACAGTTACGATAGAAATGAAGTGCCGCTTCATGTGGCTGTACGAAATATACAGCAGATTTTCCTCTTTCAACTTGAGTTAAACAATGATTTTCATTGTGTAAAAAAACGTTTCGAATACTGATGTATTCGCATAACAGCAGCGATAAAAATCAATGGCTTTTCGTTTATTTTTCATGGTCAATGAATAGAAGGTAGATTTTCCACAAAATGGCCAGTTAACAGGATATCAATATCCGCTAAAAATGTTTTCATGTTCGCAACGGATTCTAATTTATTTCCACAGATATTTCGTTTCCGATCCTACCCTTTTTACTTTTCTCGAAAGCGCTGCTTTTAAGAATCGGGTTTAATCATGCTAAACAATATCGTAATAGAACGTGATATACTATTTACAAAATGCCCCCCTTTGTCATTCCAAGCTTGATCAAATCGTTGCTCGGCTTGAATTTCTAAAGCATCATGAGGAAGCCATACCCGCATCAGGTTCCGTAGAAATATTTCGAAAATTCCGAAACTTGTGCAAGTAAGAAATTTTCTAAGTGAACAAGAAATTCCTCGTGGGTTAGGGCGGATTATGAAGCAGCGCTCCAACTGCTCTGCTCTCTAATCAAGTTGATCTTGTTTCAAGTGTCACCTAGATCTTGACGCATGAATAGCGATGTATCAGCTTCCGTAAACTAATACTCCTTTGTAACATTACACGTTATTTAATGACATTTATTTGCGCAGTGCTGCAAATGTTATGGAATTGAATTTATTTCAGTGGCAGTTCCATTTAGCAATTCGACATAAAGACACCTAGAGGTTTATTCAATGCTTGTGAGAAGTGGGCCAGTTAGTAATTAAAACTTGAAAATGTCTCAAAGATGTGTGCTTTTCTTGCTCCGCAGAATCTCGACTCAATCAAATTAATTAAACAGATTACCAAGTTTAATCACGTTAATACTATTAGGGGTTTATTATTTACCTTTTCAAATGGTAATTCAGCAAAGCACGTGCGTCCTTGAAAAGTTCGCGCATTTTTACCAGGAAATCCTAGTATCAATTGAACATACATATTAATTTATATTAATTAGCTCCCAACATTCAAATGTATTTTTGTGCACTAAAAAGCACACGGATTCAATAATATTTCCATTGTTCAAGTTAATGCCAACGGACTAACTAAAACACACACCGCAACGTTTTCAGAACTCATTTATTCAACAAAAATATTAACGTATCAATTATAAATAACATTTCGGCATATGAAATCAAAACAAAACAAAAAGACAAATTTTCAGCATAAATATTTATTTCGGAAAATTGTATTGCTAATAGAACTGAATGTATTTTTAATCATGTTTTCTACCTAAATTCATAATGACGTATTTTTGTTCTGGATTTTTTTAATCGACTGTATTAATTGGATCCATAATTCTTCATTTTTGTAACTCCGCATGCAGTTGATGGAAATAATAATAACGTTTTGCAAACTTAAATGACACTGAAATGTATTTGAAAGCGTTAGTTGAGGGGCATTTATTTTATTTAAGTGTTTATTTTACAATTTGCGCTTTGCATATATTATTAATTATTAATTTTTCTAAAAGCGAAAAGCTTGCACAATTTAGCTTAGCTTTAAAACAAACGCCCACAGGAATATTAAGATAACAAACGTTAAGAATAAATAAACGATTTGGCTGGGAAACATTTAATATTTATTTTCAGTAGTTTGAGGTCAATTGGAAAATTAATTAATTATACGACTTCCTGAATAAAGAATCATATACAAGTGGAACTTTCCTTAAATTATCCAGTCTCAACCTTTCAACTGTGCTGAATAAATTAGGTGGAATTAAAATTCTATCAAATATTACCGGAGCTTTTACCGGAAAGTTGGTATTTTCTGTCGATATCGAAAAATGTTAAAAGCTCTGGGACAATATTCAGTCTCGTGTGCGTTGGAAGTTTAACATCCCTAATGTAAGCGTGACCCTAAAGAACCGATTGGGAATTACCTATAATTTATATGATTCAATAGGGGGGACTTTTTCCATACCAAAAATCTGGGGCATATTTACCTATATTACACAAGTAGCGCATAATTAATAGAAGTCTTCGAATCCGTTGAGCAATATTTTGAAATCGATGTTGATTTTAACTGTCAAGTTCAAAATTTTGCACCAAACGAGCTAGTTTTCATCCAAAAGTTTTTCTTGCCAGAATTTGGAAACTGGCACGTTCGAAACCCTTCCTCAATTATAAATTAATCAAAACTTCCTGAGTCGAGCAGACTTACATCTGTTAAGTCATTAATTATTTCTCGCTTTTATTCGTCAATAAGCGCTTTCATTGACGGCATGGGGTTGGATTGGATGGCTAACTTTGTACATGGAAGGGAATTGTTATTTCTGGATATTTACCCTATGGTTAATAAGCAATATCTGAAATAAATTTCCGTGCTACAAGTGAAGTTTAACAAACGCTAATTAGGTATTCGTGCCTTTGACAACTAATGAAAACTTGTAGCTTCAAAGAGATAGCTACCTTGACAAAATTTGTTTCAGTTATATGCGGGCGTTAGATTATTAGTTAGCGTTTAAAGTCAAGCTCTGGAAACAGTGCAAGTTTAAAATTAGAATTCAGGCGTACCACAAGATTTCAATATGATCTTGCCGGTGCTCAATTCAACAGCACTTAATATAAATCACCAAATACTCTTCTCACAACGGTTGAAATTTTTCATCGGGAAAAGAATATGCATTATTTAAAAGTGAGATTTGTCAACTTTTCCCTGGATAATTTGCACAAGATTTGTT